TGTTTTGTGTCGGTTATAACCGACACAAATTTTTTTGGTGTCGGTTCACTTAACCGACACGAAACCTGCCGACACTAATCGGATTTGTGTCTGTTTTGGACAACCGCCGGAGTAACCGACACAAATTTTTTGCGTCGGTTGTTTTGAGTCGGTTTTAACCGACAATAAGTATTGATCAGAAAAATCCATTTTCAGAAATAAAATCAATATTTGTGTCGGTTTTAACCGACCCAAAATAACCTACACAAATTATGAATTTAAAAAAAAATAGCTCAACAATTAATTTGTAAGTTCATAAACCTCATCAGATTTTGAATAAAACAAACCACCATAACTTTTGTTTTCACCGTAACCAGCTTCTATTTTTTAACCAGTATGGCTTTTCTTTACAAGAGTAATGGCATAATATGAATCGAAACACTCCCAACCTTTTTTACAAGAACTATAAATCAATTCCAAACTCACTAACAACAATCGTATTAATCCAAAAAAATCCAAATTCGCTGAGTGAACGAAAACCCAAACTAATTTAGTCAAGAGCTTTAAATCACCCAACAAATTTATTGTCTAGATCCACTACCGCTTATTGAACCTCAAGCGCTTCCACTCTCTCGCCGGCTCCGTTCCGCTCCCCCTTCCAATTCCTGCAGTCGGGGCTTCAACGCCCTCGCCCTGAGGCAACCTTGTACATGAATTCGCAGTTGACAGTGGCACTGGGCGGCAACACCCACAATTAAACCTGCCCCACAATTGACGCGAACCATATATTAATCCCACCTCTCGATCTCTCCTCCCAATTTCATCGATTCACCTGCGGGTCGAGGATGATACTCCCTCCGCCGCCTCATATCAGAATAGTCCATGAGATCGGTGATGTCGGAGAGGAGGAGAGCAGCAGCCGTCGGAGAGGAAGGGGATGCAAGAATGACTGAACAGAGAGCGGCATCCGGAGAGGAGGAGAGCAGCGGTTGGGACTTGGAAGGGCGAAGAAGAGAGTGGCGTTAGAGAGGAAGAGGGCAGCACGTCTTGACCGGCGAGGAACAGGGCGGCGGCTTAAGGGGAAGAGATAGAGAGTGAGACGAGATTGAGAACAAGCGTTTGTTAGGTTTTTTTTAACATAAGAGAGTAAGAGACGGATGGAAATAAATAAGGAAAGATTAGGGTTGGGGAATGGCGAGGGAAGTTTTGGTATAGGAGGGAATTTTGGGCGGGTTGTCAAAATTTTGGGATTCAATTCAAAAGTCAAAAATTAATTTTCATTTTGTGTTAGTTATAGCCGACACAATTTAAAATTTTGTGTCGGTTCAAATTTTAACCGACACAGATAATTGAAAAATAATTTCTCAAAAAATACAATTTAATTTTGTGTCGGTTATAACCGACACAATTCGAATTTTGTGTCGGTTAAAAAATAACCGACACTAATAACCACAAAAATTGTGTCGGTTGGTCAACCGATGCAAATTTCCGACACAAATCTTAAATTTTGTGTCGGTTAAGTGAACCGACACGACACAACCGACACCAAACACCTTTTTTCTTGTAGTGAAGTAGTGGACCTATTTGTAAATTTGAAAAAGTTTAGGTACCAAAATGTAAAAAAAATCAGGTACTAAAATGTAATTTCTAATCATATTTTTAGGACTCGAATGTAAAAAAATTAGGTACTTAATATTAATACCTATTACGTTCAGGTACCAAAACTTTAATTTGTAAATGGAACCTAGAAAAGCTAGGTAAATGGAAGGGAGGAGATGGGAAGGGAAAGGAGAAGGGAGAAGGAAAAAAATACTATAATATCCTTAATGAATTTGTTAGTATGGTGCTAACACTTAAGAGTGTTAGCACCCTATCCACTCCCGTCATTTTGAAGAGTATAATTAACATGAATTTTGTGGAAGAAAGTTGAATTTCAAACTGAAATGAAGGAGAAATACCGGTTAAATTTTAATGAAGATAGATATGCAGAATGATGGAAATTTGAAGCCCCCAGCCAATGGCGTACCCAGGATTTTGGATAGATGTGTCGGCCGATAAAAATAAGTTAAAATAAAAATTAAATAATTAAATTAATTAAAAATAAATATTCAATTAAAAATAATATAAAATTGTATTGATAAAGTTCACAAATTTCATTTTTTTTAGTGAATCACGACAAATTTTCATATTTTCAAAGATTTCTTAATTATATTTGTCCATTAAATTGCAAATCAAATATTTTTTTTTATGTAAACAACTAAAAAATTATTCATAAATTTGTCTCTAATGATACTAAAGCGGGAATGGGAAGCTGGAAGGGTAGCCACAAGAGTAAATGTTTTTGTTTACTATCTCTCTGGATACTCACTACTTACTAAGTAACCAATAGTTATTTACTCTTGTCAACCAACTAATTAAATACCTAGTCCGAAGTCCGATAACTCCTATATTTACATATTTTAATAACATTACGACAACGAAAAATTTGTAATGTAATAAGGTGTGTCGATTACAATTATCGAAGGTGTGCCGGAAGTCCCGTTTTCAAATTTTTTATACTAAAAAAATATGAGTTTCTCACAAAAAATTATGATCAAGGTGTGTCGGGTGACACGCCTCCCTTAGAGGTGGGTCCGCCTCTGCCCCCAGTGGGTATTACCCGACCTGACCAGTGATGGGGCGGGTATTACCTGACTCGCGGGTAGGTACTGGGGCGGGTATTACCTGACTCGCGGGCATGGTACCTAATTTCGACCCGCCCCGTTCTTGGCATATTCTATCTCAATTTCTTTCAGTATTTATTCATATTTATCCTATTTTGACTTTTCTTCAACTAGTAAGACTCAATCTTTCAGCTAGTTAGGGGTCATTTGGTTTTGGTGATACTTAAATCAATGTATTGTAAATTGTAATATACATGCAATTAAGGAAAATGATGTAATGTACTTTATATTGTTTGGTTTTGGTGATAGTTCTTTTAGTATTCAACATGTTATTTTACTTTTTGTGAGAAATGTCACTTATGCCCTTGCTTTTATGAGAACATATATATATAACTAGGGTTATACTTGGAATAAAAAAGGAACCCAACAATCTCCTCAAAACTATCTCAACAATCTCAAGTTTTAGTAGAGATAGTACTATGCTATCACTCATTTTGAGCGATAGTTTCCATTACATCAAACAAACAATGCATGTATTGTTTGTGCAGAAAATTCAAAAAAATGATGTATTATAGACAATACTATTTTTCATTCATAAAGTGTTTTCCTCTTTCTTTTAGGGGATTGCTAATTGTCGCCCTAACTTTTTAAAATCGCCCTAAACGTAAATGTTGAGATTACCACTTTATCCTTGTTAAGAGACATTATATTGCAATAAACACAATCAATAAAAAAAAGGGTTAATACCTTATTTTGGCCCGAACTATGACCATATAATCAACTTTGGCCCGTGGTTTCAGAAATTAACATCCTGGCCTCAACTATGCAGCATATAAACTCAATTGGCCCGACACATAGTTTGACCGTCAATTTGGACGGTCAACTCCGTTGAGCGTTAGTCAACACGCCATGTCATTGCCTAGTCAGCCTAAAATCATTAAAAAAAAGATAAATTTAATAAATTAACCAAAAATTATCAAATTATTTTATATTTTTAAAACTTCCCACCAAAATATAATTTATATCATAATTTTTAATTAATAAAATTTAATTTGATAATTTTTGGTTAATTTATAAAATTTATCATTTTCAAATATCACAAAAAAATATATTTTATATTTATAGAATTTTATTTTTTGATTAATTGGAAAATGATAAATAATAGAAATTAGGTAAATACTTTGAATTTAAATTTTTTTAATGATTTTTAGGCTGATTAGGCAATGACATGGCATGTTGACTAACGGTCAACGGAGTTGACCGTCCAAATTGACGGTCAAACTATGTGTCGGGCCAATTGAGTCTATATGCTGCATAGTTGAGGCCAGAATGTTAATTTCTGAAACCACGGGCCAAAATTGATTATATGGTCATAGTTCAGGCCAAAATAAGATATTAACCCATAAAAAAAGACGTATGCATTACAGCCATCGCCGCCGGCTGATTCCCGTCACCAAGCGCCACCATCTCTGACGTGGGGAGTAAAGAAGCTAATCGTCACAATCTTGTAATTTCCTCGTATATTGAAGAAAGGGTAACGAGCAATTGTAACAAGCCATGTTTTTCGTCCTCGCATCGGCAGAGAGGGTACGTAGTCGTGGAAGTATTTGGTTCGAAGAATAAGAAGAAGGGTGTGGCATCGGTGCAGCGTCACGGTGGGGACGCACGACGCAGATGAACAGGGGTTCAACTGCAGGTGAGGGATGGGCTTCTGTGGCAGACACCAGTACTCGGAGCAGCACAGCTATGCATTCAATTTAAAGAACCTGTAGAAAAAATAGGCAAGGCCAATCTAATAGAGGGAGAGAAGCTTCCCAAGTTTAAGTTCTAATCAACACTTTGAAATGATGTGGGGTTTCTTATTGATTTGGGAAGTTTGAGATCTTGTTGTTGTGATTTGGGCTAACCGGAGCACATCTATTCATGTCGATCGACCGACTGGTGATGGTGGTGGCTGGGTGGTGGGGTTCAACCGTTATTCTTCGATGATGAAGCGGATTATGGATTTTAGGGTTGTTTGCTGTATTGCATTTGGTTTGATTGATTAAGAATAGTTTAGTAATTTTAGGTTTTAAGTTAGGACGATAATAGTAAAGTTAGGGTGACGTTTAGCCATTCAGTTTTTTTATTGTAAAAAGTAAATTTTTGAAAATAATTTTTTTCAAATAACATGTAAGAGAGGATCGACCTACTTTGCTCGTAAGCGCGCAAATATTGAGGTAGCGCCCCATTGCCATCAACACAATATATATGTGTATTGTTGCGTAATAATACAGCCTCTAAACTCAACTCCTTCCATGCATTGGTTGGTTGGTAAGCCCAACAAACCAAATCGCAAACACTCTCCTCTCCCACCAATTTAACAAGAAAACTCCCCAATGAAAGTATTTCAGTTTGGTCACAAAAATCATCACGCGAAACAGCCGTCCCATCTCCCCTCTTCCCCAAATCGCAACAAGTAACCGCCTCCAACACCAAATCTCATCGATCCATCCTTCCTTCCCTCACCAAACTTATTTCTCCCTCCTCCATGACCAAAATCCCCAAAATCCCACCCCCATTATTCCTCCCGCCGTCGCCGGAGGAGATAATCACGGCTTAACAATATCAACAACAAAAAATCATGATCAGAAAACTCGACGACGCCACCGCAGGGCCACCACCGCCGTCCACCGCCAGTCCTCCTCCTCCCGCCAAATTCCGCTCCGCCACGAAGAACCTATTCCTCCTGGTCCTCCCGCTGATCCTCTTCTGCCTGTTCTTCTTCCTCACCTCCTCCGCCTTCGTCGATCCTTTCTCCGCCGCGTTCGCCCCGCTCGCCTCCTACTTCATCAACCTCTCCTCCTCCCCCTCCTCCGCCGCCGACCGCGGGGCTCGATATTCCGACGCGGCGAGGGAGGCGCGGCTGAACCGGTCGAGGATCGCGGTGTGCCTGGTCGGCGGAGCGCGGCGGTTCGAGCTCACCGGACCGTCGATCGTGAGACACGTCCTGCTCCGGTATCCGAACGCCGATCTCTTCCTCCACAGCCCCCTCGACGAGAACGCGTTCAAGCTCTCGCTCCTCAAATCCGCGCCGAGGATCGCCGCCGTCAGGATTTTCAAGCCGAGTTACATCCCCGAGACCGAGTCGTACCTCCGAGTTCTCACCGCCTCCAACTCGCCTAACGGCATCCAGGTAATTAGAAATCGCCTTCAGTTTTTTCCCTTCTTTTTTTTTTTCTTTAACTGATCGATTGATAATTAATTATGTCCGTCAGTTTCAATTTTCGTCGGGTTTTCTGTAATTAAGTAGCTCCGGCGCCGAATTCCGATATGCTCGATCGAGCTAGGGCAAGATAGGGTAGGGAGATTAATTTAGTAATTAGTAATTATGGAGGAATATTTTTCATGGAATTTCGTAGCTAATCAAATTCCTCCTCTTTTGTCTATTAATCACAGCTATAGGCTGGTTAACCGCTCCCGCGCCCTTTCCCCCGTCATGCGGTAGATATTGTTTTCCGTTTTGGCCAAAAACAAAAACAAAAAAAAAAAGGGGGGAAATCCTTTCTTTATTAGGTGACCGAACTGATATTCAGTGAGAACCTGAGACGTCACACTTCCGCCATGGGGGATTGCTTCACAATTTTGCCATGGGCTTCACCAAACCCTATCGCATCAGTTAGCTCTTCTCAGCTGTAAGGAAATTAGTTGATGAGAATTAGGAATAGGATAGATACCTTTCATTTCCCTGTCATCTCCGTTTTCATACTTCTCTCATCTCCAAGGAATCGTTGGAATGTGCGAGATATTATGCTTCGATTATACAAAAAATATGGCTACGTTAATTATACTTTTAATTAACCTGAGCTAGTTTGATCCTACCGTAGATTTCGCAGAAGCGGTTTTTGTTTGATTGGAGCTTTTAGAAAAGTATTTTTGGAAAAAAGTAATTGAGTGTTTGGCTGAAAAATTATGATAAGGGGTCGTTTGGTAAGCATGTAATCTACCCACAGATTTCAAGATTACATGATATCTGTGATTTCACTGTTTTTCTTGTTTTATTTTGGGACAGATATCATGATATTGGTGCACCATGTAATTCTAAAATTCATATGACCATGATATCTCAAATGTTTTGGGTTTACCCAAAGTATTTGAGATTTCATGCCAAATTATGTGGGTTCTACCATGAACTCATGCAAGCCAAACAATGCATTCTAATATTACACAAGTTCTCACAACTCAACCTACAATATACATGAATTCTTCAAATACATGAATTCTACATTACGTGCTTACCAAACGACCCCTAAGTGTTTTTCAATATGAGAGTTTGTGTAAAATGATTATAAAGGAATTATAATATAAACTAGGAATAAAAATTTTAAACAATAAAAAATAGTCAAAATGGATCTCGTTAGATTTTTTTACTTTAAATAATATGATTTTATAATTTTTTTTAAAAGAATATAAATGAAATAAAATTATATTTTCTGAAATAAAATAAAAATATATTAAGGATAATCATGTATTTTCAAAACAACATATCACAGTTTTTCAACGAAAACACTCAATTACTTTTTTCAAAAAAATACTTTTCTAGTGATATAATGTTATTTATTTTTCAGATCGATTCGCAAACATCAACAATAAAGTATATCCATTTGAGTAACATATCACAGTTTATAAACGAATGTGTTACGTGCATTTGACAAATATTTTTATAAAAATAGTTTACATTCATTTCCTCGACACACAAAAAACATGTATGTCTTTATGAAAAGAGGTAATGGGATTTTATTTACCTCACCTCAGAACTATAGTATGTTTTCTGTAATGATTCATGAACTATTTATTTTCCTGTTACTGTCCGTGCAGTATAGATTTACTTTTCAATATGGCCCTTAATGGTCAAAGTTTGTTTCGCGTCATTAAATTGGGACCAAACTAAACATTGGCAAGTGGCTCATGTGCATAAAATACCTCATAATTACAAAAGAAAATATTTCTCCACATTTTTTACCCCATCCCCAACTATTCCATTCCATGAGATCGATTCATCTTACAATTTCCAATCAAAACCAACAAATCAGCCCCACTTTTGTCGAAAATAAAAAAAAAATGGAGTGAAATAGCTAGCTAGCTAGCAAGGTTTACTTTGTAATTACATGATTTTTTTTTTGAACGAGTTAGTGTCTATTTAGGGAGTTCATTAATTTTTTGTTTTTTTTGGGTATTGTTCAAACGCAGGGCTTGCTCCAGTACTTCAACCTCGTCGAAGGCTGCCTCCAAATGATAAGCAACCACCAGACCCGCCACAACTTCACCTACGACTGGATAGTCCGAACCCGAGTCGACTCCTTCTGGTCCGCCCCGCTCCCGCCCTCCTCCTTCCCCCTCAACTCCCGCTACTTAGTCCCCGAGGGCTCCTCCTACGGCGGCCTCAACGACCGCCTCGGCATCGGCGACTACAAAACCTCTGCCGCCGCCCTCTCCCGCCTCTCCCTCCTCCCCTTGCTCTCACACCTCAACTACACTCGCCTCAACTCCGAGTCCGCCTTCCGGGCCCAGCTCGACGCCCGCCGCGTGCGCTACGCGGCGGGCCGGGTCCCCTTCTGCATCGTGTCGGACAGGAGGTACGAGTTCCCGCCGGAGGGGCCCGGGGTTCCCGTGGCGGCTCTGGACAGCCCGGGCCCGCTGAGCGGGGCCAAGTGCAGGCCGTGCTCGGCGGCCTGCGAGGGGGAGTGCTTGGAGGAGTGGATGCCGACGCTGTACAGGCGGTGGAGCTGGACGGAGTGGCGGAACGGGACGCTGAAGCTGTGCGACGCGCAGGGGGAGTGGGAGAAAGGGTGGGAGAGGCTGTTCGATGACGTGGCCGGGAGGGAGGGTAAGACGGAGAGGGTGCGGGTCGGTGGGTTGCCGGATGGGGAGTGTGTGGCGGATTTTGGGGCGATGAGGAGGAAGGCGGTGGTTTGGGCGTCGCCGCCGGTGGAGGAGATTTGTAGGATGGGGAAGCGTACTACTACTACTACTGTTTAGAGAGTTTTAGGAGGGCGGGAGAGAGTGATGGTGCGGGGAATTATTGTTCGTGGATTGGGGGTATGGTTTAGGTTAGCTAGGGAATGTAAAAAAGATAGAGAAGTGGATGAAAGGTAGAGAACATCAATGGATGGAGTTTCTTTCCACGGGAATTTTGGGCATGATATATAGACGCTTTTCTTTTACCATGGTGAATATGGTGTACTGCTGATTCGGTTCGAATCATATATACTTCATGCATTGCATGCCACTTGTTGAATGCTCGACGAGTTAGTTTATATATGATTTAGAAGGCGATTTACCCAAATTGATACCCATAGACGCAATTTATGATAAATCGATAGTTCACACCTGATCGTTAAGTTTGTGATATGCTTAATTTGATTATCGAAGAAATATAGCGATGAGGATAATGAAAATGTTCATAATGTACTTGGGTTCGGCTCCTGATCTATAGTAACTTATTAAAACAAATTTCATTATGCATTACTTGCACTGAAAATTTCACACACTGTTGATGTGACTTGAATTGGACTATCAGCCGCTACGACTGGTAATCGAGGGATCTTCTTTGCGGGCACAAGGTGCAGGATTTGGAATTCTGCGAGCATTGTGTGTTTGGGAAGCTACATCGCAGCAAGTTTCCCACGAAGGGTATCCACCGGACGAAGGGGATACTGGATTACCTCTACTCCGATTGTTGGGGTCCTTCACGAGTTGAATCCATTGGAGGCAGCATGTAAATTTTGTCTATTATTGATGATTATTCGAGATTTACTTGGATTTTCATGATGAAGCAGAAAAGTGAGGCTTTCACGAAGTTCAAGCACTGGAAGACATTGGTGGAGAATCAGACTGGGAAGAAGATCAAGAAGCTGCGAATGGACAATGGTATGGAGTTCTGCAGTTCTGAGTTCAACGAATTCTGCAAGGATGAAGGGATTACCCATCATCGGACTGTTAGAGATACACCCCAGCAGAATGGCGTTGCAGAAAGGATGAACCAGACATTGTTGGAGAGAGCACGGTGCTTGCTCTCTAATGGTGGACTAGAGAGAAGATTCTGGGCAGAAGCAGTGAACATGGCGTGCTTCCTGATCAACCGTGGACCTCACACAGGTATCGAGTTGAAGACTCCTTATGAGGTGTGGTATGGTAAGCCTGCTGATTACTCTTCACTGAAAGTTTTTGGGTGTCCTGTTTATTATCATGTGGATGAGGGTAAACTGAACTCAAGGGCAAAGAAGGGCGTATTTGTGGGTTACGGAGATGGAGTTAAGGGATTTCGAGTCTGGTCACCTTCTGAGCAACGAGTTATACTTAGTAGAAATGTGATATTTGATGAGAAGTCTATGTTTAACCCCATCTTGAAGGTTACTGTTGTTGAATGTAGCAGGAATGTTGATAAACAGGTGGAGCTGCAAACTCTCAAAGAGAGTGAGTTTGAGCACCAAGGTGGAGAAGATCAACATGATGAGGATGTCTCTGCAGAGCGAGAAATTTCAGAGTCCAGTGCACGAGTTCAACAGTCTATTGCTTCCGGTAGACCGAAGAGAGCGACTGCAGGAGTACCTCCACAGAGGTACGGCTTCGAGGACATGGTGGCGTATTCATTTCAAGTTGCTGAAGAAGTGGATGCAGGAGAGCCACAGTCCTATAGAAAAGCAGTTTCAGGTGGCGAAGCTGATCAGTGGCTTGGCGCAATGGGAGATGAGATGGAATCCCATGACAGGAATCAGATTTGGGAGCTAGTCAAACGACCACAGGGAATGAAGATTGTTACAAACAAGTGGATCTACAAGAAGAAGGAAGGAATCACTTCTAAAGAGGGCATGAAATTTAAAGCTCGGGTGGTTGCACGAGGCTTCTCATAGAGGGAAGGAGTTGACTACAATGAGATTTTCTCACCAGTGGTCAGACATACTTCGATCAGAGTGCTAGTAGCAATAGTGGCACATTATGACTTGGAGCTCAAGCAGCTAGACGTGAAGACAGCTTTCCTGCATGGAGAGTTGGATGAAGAAATTTACATGACTCAGCCAGAAGGATTCGAGGTTCCTGGAAAAGAAGACTATGTTTGTAAGCTGAAGAAGTCCTTGTATAGACTTAAGCAATCTCCGAGGCAGTGGTACAAGAGATTTGACAGTTACATCGTTGAGCTGGGCTACAGCAGAAGTCTATATGATTGTTGTGTATATCACAGCAAGGTAGAGGATGGTTCGATGATATATCTAGTTCTGTATGTGGATGATATGCTCATAGCTGCGAGGTCAAAGTCTGATATCCAGAAGTTAAAGGGGTTTCTCAGTGCTGAGTTTGAGATGAAGGATTTGGGAGCTGCTCAGAAGATCTTGGGTATGGAGATTTACAGGTACAGGTCGAAGAAGAAGCTTTTCTTGTCACAGAAGAGTTACATCCAGAAGATATTGTCGAGGTTTGGCATGTCTTCAGCAAAGTCCTTAAATACTCCTAGTGCTTCAAATGTTCATCTATCCTCAGCTTATGCACCTCAGTCAGAGGCTGAGAAGGAGTACATGTCGAGAGTACCATATGCTAGTGCAGTAGGTAGCTTGATGTACGTTATGGTATGCACTAGACCTGATCTTGCACATGCTGTTAGTGTTGTCAGCAGGTTTATGATACAACCTGGGAAGGAGCATTGGCAGGCTGTGAAGAGGATCTTCCGGTACCTTAAGGCTACACCTGATGTGGGGATTAGCTTCGGAAGTGATACAGAGTGCTTGGTGTCTGGGTATTCTGACTCGGACTATGTTGGAGATGTTGACACGAGGAGATCGATGACCGGCTATGTATTCACTCTTGGGAGTTCTGTAGTGAGCTGGAAGGCAACTCTGCAGTCGGCGGTGACATTGTCGACTACTGAGGCAGAGTATATGGCGTTGACAGAAGCTGCTAAGGAGGGAATATGGTTGAAGGGACTGGTTGGTGATCTGGGTCTACATCATGATCAAGCAGTGGTGTATTGTGACAGTTTGAGTGCAATATGCTTGGCCAAGGATCAAGTTCACCATGAGAGGACTAAGCACATCGACGTGAGGTATCATTTCTTGAGGACAGAGAAGAGGATTAAGGTGAAGAAGGTTGGCACCGCGGATAATCCTGTTGATATGTTCACGAAGCCGGTTCCACTTGGCAAGTTCCAACACTGCTTGGACTTGCTGAATGTCTTGAGTGGGTGACTCCGCCCTACGGGGCATTGATGGCGGGAGAGAGAGAAGGAGCAGAGTACATCAGAGATTTCAGAGGAAGAGGATTCAAGTCAAGGTGGAGATTTGTTGATGTGACTTGAATCGGACTATCAGCCGCTACGACTGGTAATCGGGGGTCTCGCTGCCCGGTGTATGGGCTTAATGTTATTTGGGTTCGGGTTCTGGGCCTGGTCTGTAACCGTTTCCTTTGCCATATTGGATTAGGTTTAGACCCACATGGAGAAGTACTATAAATACTTCTCATACTCCTCTGTAATCTCCTTGATATAGTGAAACTGGCTCTCTCTCACCCGTGGACGTAGCTAACACACATCGTGTTAGTGAACCACGCAAATCGTGTGTCTGTGTTTTTCGATTCTCGCTTTCGTATTCTTGCTTTGTCGATTCCAGCGATTTCCCTATCCGTAGCAGCGCGTTTATAACACACACAATACAGAAGTTTGTGCTGGATCACTGGAGACCAAAGCAAGGACGTGAGGATGAAAGCGAAAGAGATGAGTGAGGTGACGTGGAGGAAAGGGGACGGGGAGGTGGATCCCGTAACAGAAGAGCTACGGGAGCTTTGTTTCAATCGATCCCGTTAGGATGGACATGACATGGTTGTTTAATTATGGTTTGATGTAGTGATGACTCAACAGTTTTGCTGACATGGATTGTCAGCATGTTATGGAAAATTTCCATTTAGTACTTGGCGTTACGTCTCATGACAGAAATGCTGGCGTTACAACCGAAATTTGGCTTAAATGGTTTAGTTGAAACCAAATCCAATTAAGTAGCTAATGTGCAACAAATGTGCTAGATATGTGACACCCGATGCATTTAACCCTCACTGCCAACATACGCAATCTGAGCAATGCAACTTTTTTTAAATAATTTTTTTGCTGCTTCGTAGATCTCAAAAAGCTATGTGGAATCAAAGAAAACTTTGCATCGATAAGATAACCGAACAAAAAATTACGGTCGTTTGAAGTTTTCATCTATGTAAGGCACAAATCGATTGAGCCTCCAACTATTTAGAAGTTAGATCGTTGGTGGCTTTATCAATTTTTGTGCTGACTCAAACACCATGAAACCCGCTGCCAAGCCTTCGCCATACGCTAGGACCTGAAATGTTACAAAAGAACCCAACGTAGCGTAAAATTGACAAAGGAGAGGGCTTTTTCTAGTAAACAACCAAGAAATGATCAAGAAACACATGGTAAAACATGTATAATTAAGCATGTATCAAAATCTCCAACTTAGTTTTTTGCTTGCCCTCAAGTAAAATGAGTAAAACACAAATTTAATTTGCAAGACATTCATTTCAAAACCACTCAGTCAAAATCAAAGGGGTACAAAGAAGATGAATCACAAATTGCCATCAACAATAATACATGAAGCAACATGAGAGAGATATTAGCAACCACAACAGATGACATTCGACACAACAATAAAATCACCTCGTCGGACTTAGAAAACCTCCAACAAACACGATTAGTCAACCAGTACCCCAACTATATAAACATAGATATTAAGTCACACAGAACAAGAAGTTGAGCAAACTAGGTCCTCACCGAGATTTAGAATATGAAATGAATCGCTCAACAGGCGAACAATGGAGTCAAGAACATAGTTTATGCAAAAGATGTTCATGTAAAATATCTCAATCTTATCTTCTCTTTGCCATGAAACTAGCTTCTAAACATTTTCCAGTACGGTCGAATTTTTTTGAATGGGTCAACACTCAACACTACATTTTCTAGAAGGCTTTTCATTGGGTTGTAACTTTGGTTAGTGACTCGCTATGACACAACTCCT